CTCCCCCCCCCCCCCCCACTCCCGCATCCCATCCCATCCCGGCTTTTCCCCCCCCGTGGCTGCTGTCGTGGTGCTCCACAGGACACCCCACCCCACCCCCGTTTTTATCACCAGCGTCTCTCTTCAGACTCCTCCAACTGGGACTTTGAAAGCTCTCTGCCTGCGCAGCTCTTTGCGGCGGATCAGTGGCTGCTGTTGTGGTGCTCCACAGGACACCCCACCCCACCCCCGTTTTTATCACCAGCGTCTCTCTTCAGACTCCTCCAACTGGGACTTTGAAAGCTCTCTGCCTGCGCAGCTCTTTGCGGCGGATCACGGGGTGGCCCGGCTGCCATTTTGGGAGGGAAATTATGAATGTCCCTCGAGAGAGAGAGAAAGAACGGCCGGAACACTTTTGGTGGAGGGGGGGGGGCACGGAGACAAAGCCTTGCCGGAGGCGATCTTTTGGCTCCAGGAGAAACGCTTTCGAAAGGACCCACAGGGGAGGCCCTTCTTGCCGAACTGAGGGCTGGCCCCGAGCACCAGAGACTCCTGTCCGAGTGCCACGGCTAGCACTGCACACTCTCCCCCGCCATCAATTGGGGCTTGGCAGGGCGCGCGCGGCTTTGTCTCCCGGTGCCGTTTCCCCCTCCTCCTGGCCTCCCCAGCGGCCCTGCCGGGGGGGTGCCTTGTGTGTGCTCCCCCCCCTCCACAGAAGCGTTTGTGGTTTGCTCTCGTGTGTCCCTTTGCCCTCCCAACAGACGCTACGCAGAGGGAGGCAAGGCACGGAGCTGGGATCTGATTCTTTTATTTTCTGTTCTCTTTCAATTAGGAGCCACAAACTACCGTTGTCCACAATGCTAATGATGGTGTGAAGGTAAGGGGCCGCTCGCAAAGGGCCTTCAGAGTCCCAAAACGTCCCTCCCTGTTGCCCCCCACCCCCGGAAAGTGACTACCTTGGGCTGGGTCTGCTGAGGCCACAGAACAAGGTGTCCGAACAGGCCCTGCCCTTTGACCCTGCCTGGATTCCGCAGCCGCATGCTCCTCCACGGAAGGGGGGAAGGCCCTCCTTGAAGGCGGGAGACGGACCCGGCAGGGGAAAGACAGCACAATTGCAATGGGACCTCCCTGTGCTGGTCTCCTATGTGCACAGAGTTTTTAAACATTTAGAAGCGCGATCACCGGCCTTCCGTGTGGAGCAGTACAGTCCATTCTGCCGCCTCATTGTGCTACATGCGTCCGCCGGGCCTTAGAGCGTGCACAGACTGGCAGTTTGTATGTGCTACCTGCCGCGTGACATTGCATGAGGAGATGGCTGTGCACTCTGACCTTATTAATGTGCTTCCCTTCCTGGATTTCTTGCATAGAAATTTAACAAACTGGAAGAGATGTTATGTGCTCCTGTGTGCTCTAAGGGTGGCATTCCAGGTTATGAAGCACAGGCTGCTGCCGCTGCCGCTGCTACTCCTGAAAAGGGCAGCCTTGTGCTGCGTCGTCCCCCCCCCATCCCTTCATCAGATGTGTCAAAGAGTTGTCCCGTGTCCTAACCTCTTCACATTGTGTGTGTTCCCTCCCCCGCCAGCAGCCGCCAGTGTTGTGGCATGGGGAAATGCACAACGTAAGTGCCGGCCTTTTGCTCTCCCTGTTCCCGGCCATCATCCCTGCCGCCTCACCTTCATCGTTTACGCCTCTTTCTTTCCCTGCCGCTGTTAGATTTTGTGCCATTGCATCCTGCAGCCTTCCTTGCCATATGTCCGTGTAGGAGAAACCCGTACGGAGACGCTGAAACTTGCCTATAGCATGGCCCTGGAGTGTCGTTACTTCGTGATGCCACCCCAAGGTGTTTTCCCTCCGCCCCCCCCAAATACCCACTTACTCCATATCAGCAGTAACCAGGTAGCATGGATGCCATTGCAAACAGTTCAGCGTTCGTTATAACAGATACCTGTTCCAGTATCAGGCAGAGGGAAGCCCCCAGGCCCGGGAAGACACAATAGATAAAAAGCCAACATGAACCCAAAATCAAACATCTGGAGTGTGGATCTAGCCACTTGCAGCCATAGCGCTGCTGCTTTTGCTGGTCTTGCAGGAACCAGAAGACACGTGGCCGGGGAGAGTAGAGGCTGTTTTGGTCTGGCATGATTCTGACCAGTAGCCCTTCCTTCAGGCCACCCCCCCACCCCCTGGTCTGTCGACGTTTTCCATCACACAAAGTACCGGTTGCTCTCCAGCAACTGCTGCAGCAGGGTAGACCTTTCCCGGTTCCACCCCACTATTTGTAGCTCCTCTTCTGTTTTCACCTCTGTATTTACTTGTTTCTTAAATCCTGTGAATAACCTTTTGAATGTGCACACAATAAAATAAATGAAGAAACAGTCCTGGGATCCTCAAAGCCCAACATCGTACACACAGGAGGAGAGGCAGGTACCCACGCCAGCCAGTGACCTAAACTGAAATCAAATCAGAACTTGAAATGCCTGAATAACTGTTCAAGCTTTAGCTGCCTATCGGATGTCAAGAAATCGGGTGAGCTGGCAGGCCTCCCTCAGGAGGCTGTTGTAGCCAGGGAGGGGAAGCCCTTCAGCGCCACTATGTCTTGAAAAGGTTTCCCAGGGCAAGGCGTTGCCAACTGGTCTGAGAAATTCATATGGAAAGAGTTAGGTTTGGGGTTCCAGCAATGTCGGACTTCAGTATCACAGCCAGCATCACGTGTTGGGCTTGGAAATGAGCTAACAGCTCATGCAACTGACCCAAAAGAGGTTTAACACAATCTTCAGGGCTGCCCCCCCCACCAGCAGATGAGCAACCAAATTTTATGATTCCCACACCATCTACAAGGGCTGCTCCAAACAAGTTGCATTACAGTAGTCAATCCATACGGATACCAGCATATGATGATAGCCACCAGGTTGTTCATAGCATTGCCCTCTTACCTTCCTTGCTCCATTCCCCCCCTATTCTCTGTGTCCCTCTGTGCCTTCATGTCTTGCTATGAGCTGATTTTTTCCATCTACCAACATTCTACTTTGCAGGGTTCCACAGAGAGCTGTAACACGACCACCGAAGACGAGGACCTGAAGGGTAGGTGCCTTGGCGCTAAAGCAAGCAAGAGTTTCTAAATCCATGGGCAGATGTGGAACATTTTCCAGGGCCAGGTTCCCCTCAGTCTGTTGACCCACCCTTTGCCCCAGTCACAGACAGGAAGTAGCCTCCACATGTTAGTGGGGGGCTGTAAGGAAATAGCAGCTTTTCAGATTTCGTAGTGCTAAACCAGGGATTTTCTCCAAGCTTTCCAGCTTCTAGTAAGAGTTGTGACACTGCTTGGGAGCTGAACTGGTTCTGGTGGCTTCCCGAGGGAGAAGAAATGGCTCCGTGGTTTCCCCTCACACCGCTCTCCAAGTATTCCTCCTGGAACCATGTGTAGCCTGGTCCAGCCAGCCAGAAATTCCATGGGGAAAAGTTACCTTGCATTGTCTTCAGCCTATCAGTGATGGTCATGTGTACGAGGAGGAGAATATCGTAGGGAGACGGTGCTGTTTTGCCACAGACAGTGTCTTTATCAGAGCTTCGCTTGCTTATTGGGCAATGAGGCAGCAAAAGAGAAGACCTTTGACCGCATTGTTTTTCCCTCCTAACCTGTCTGAAGGCATGGAGGAAGGACTCTGGCTCAGCGGCAGAGCCTCTGCTGGGCATGCAGAAGGTTCCTATTTCAATCCCCAGCACCTCCGGGGAAAAGGATGTGCGAGGCCTCTGCCAGAGACCCAAGTAGGCAAGGCTGACCTTGAGGAACCAGAGGTCTGATTTCGGATAAGGCACCCCAAGGGGCAGGACTGGCGTAACTCAGGTATTGAAGAACATGGGTCAACTTCAGACAGCCTATGTATTCCGTTTCAGGAACTGGTCACTAACGGGGGTTTTCTGTCATTTCAGACAGACCCGTTTTAGTAACCGGTCCCTGACGGAATATATTTACCTGTTCAGACAAACACACTTCTGTCCCGTTCAGGAAGCGTGCCTGAAGCGTGGTTGACTCAAACTGCTCTCCTCCAGTCTTCAATCTTTTCTACCGCTTCTGAAGCGCTATGGGGTGCTGTATAAAATGCCCCATAGCGCTTCCTGTGATGACAGTTCTTTTCACACCCTTTCCCCCCCCCTCATGTGATTGTCCTCTTTTTTTTAATATTCTATTGGGAGTGCTATGGCGCTAAAGCAGGACTACAAACCAGCGCCATAGCGACCCCATTGAGATGCCTGGACTCCATGTAGATACACTGACATTCACTACTGCTGTCCCCTGGGAACTAGTACCTGATCGGGCAGTGTGTTTACGTGGGAGTTCAGGGGCATAAGTGAATGGTGAGGCAGATGTTTGGTAGATTTTTAAAAAGTTTGCTTGAGAAGAAGTGTAGACTCAGGCACACACACACACAGGCACACACACTCCGTGGTTTGTGGGCGTTAAGGAAGGAAGGAAAGCTTCCTGGGTTTCAAAACAGTCCGGTTCCCCCCTCCCCCCGTGCTTGAACTCTGTATCCAGTGAAGAAGAAGAAGAGATTGGATTTATACCCCGCCCTTCACTACCCAAAGGAGTCTCAGAGCGGCTTCCAAACTCCTTTCCCTTCCCCTCCCCACAAAACAGACGCCCTGTGAGGTGGGTGGGGCTAAGAGAGCTCTGACAGAAACTGCTGGTTTTCAAGGACAGCTCTTATCAGAACTATGGCTTGCCCAAGGTCACCCAGCAGGTGCAAGTGGAGGAGTGGGGAATCAAACCCGGTTCTCCCAGATTAGAGTCCGCGCACTCAACCACTAAGAAGAAGAAGAAGAGATTGGATTTCTACCCCGCTCTTCACTACCCAAAGGAGTCTCAGAGCGGCTTGCAAACTCCTTTCCTGTGGGAGGAAAACCAACCCCGCCTCTCCCAGATTAGACTTAACCACTACACCAAAGTGAGCTCCTTGTTTCCAGGGGACAGTAGTAGCGAACGTCAGTGTATCTAAATGGAGTCCAGGCATCTCAGTGGGGTTGCTATGGCGCTGGTTTGCAGTCCTGCTTCAGCGCCATAGCGCTCCCAAGAGAATGTTCAAAAACAAACAAACCACCCTCTCAAGGAGATTGTGCGCGCAGGAGGAGGGGGAATGGCGGGAAAAGAAAGTGGCGCAGTTTGAAATGACACACGTCTTCAGAGGCGGCTCCTTACTGGAAGGGAAAGGCTGTGTGAAACAGCCGCCCCCTGTACCAGTTTATTCCATGCCGGTACAATGTGAAATTCCACATGTTTTTGTGACGGTTCGGTGAGGTTTGCTAGCCTGACTCAGCTGGCAGCTGCAGTCCCACGCCACCTGTCCCTAAGCAGCTTTGGCTCGGACAGCCCCTGGAGGCTGGTGGCACGGCTGGGGGGGGGGCCGGCTGTGTGTTGTGATGGGGCCCCGGGCCTGCTGAGGCATGATGGGGCGGGGCTGGCTCCCCCTCAGGACTCCCCTTCATCCACTAACCAGCCACAACATGGATTCCGCTGTGCCCAGGATCAGACGGGTGGGCGGATGTGCGCAGGGCAGCTCCTGAGAGTGGACGTCTGGGGTGGGAGCTTGTGGGAATGTTCGGAGCGCTGCAGGAATCCCCAAAGCGTGCCTGGAGAAAGGGGGGGTGGGCAGCTCTGTGGATCCTGCCTCAACATTCACACTGTAGTCTATAAATCTGCAAGTGCTTTCTCCGTGGCCTGCTGTGTTTTCAGACGGTTGTTTGGGTTTTTGCAGAACACGGCTTCTTTGGCAAGGCAGTGGGGTGGTGGCAGAAGGGGGACGTATTGGTCAGGTGCTCTGAGGGGAGGCGCCGTAGCCCAGCCGGCAGGGCGCATTCTGCTCTGCGTGCCCAAAGTCCAAGATCGGGCAGGAACAACCTTGGTCTGAGGTTCTGGGTTTTCCCCAGCCAGGGGGAGCAGAGAGCTTGAGCCCAGGTGGACTAGCATACTCACCCCACCGGGGGCTTTGTCTGTATCCGACAGTGCATGTGAGGTGCCCTGGTAGCTCGTGTGTCCCGGTGGAGGAGGCCGTCATTTAGCTGCAGGACTGGGCAGAGGGACCTCGTCGGAGGAGGCTGTGCCAGGGGTGTCCTGGGGACCTGTTGCAGGAGGACAGTGTCTTCTCCATTGGATGGGCCCAAACGCCCAAGCTGGCAAGGAAGGGCCGTGCCCGCTGTCTCCTGCCCATTCTCTCACCAGGGGGCATTTCCCCACCGTGCGCTGCTCTTGGCTAGGGTTAACATCCAGGCCTTCCTCTACAGCCAGGTCATTTCTCCAGCCTCATGGCCTCTAGATGAGCAGCTCGGGAGGGAATGGGTCGTGTTTGTGTCGGCCCCACTGCGCACCTGTGGGGGAAGGGGGTCTCTCCGCCCTTGGCGGTGCAGATGAATCGCCTGGCCGGACATTTGTAGGGAGCATTGTGGTCGCTTTGGTGTCCTGTCCTGTTCTGTTTCATTTACTGAATGTGCATTTTTTTTTGTTTGTGTGTATGTGTGTGTGTGTTTTGTGTCTTTTTTTGTTTGTTTTGATTCCGCGCCATCCAAGCTCCCCCCCTCTCCATCGGGGACAGCAGCTCAATGCCCGAAGGACGGAGTCGCTCTGAGAGCAAGCCCGAGTCCCTGCCGTCCCAGCTCTCTCTCTGTTACACAGCCAGTAAGTCCACGGGGGGCCTCCAACGGCAGCCCTTCCCCGCCTCGACACTCGCTCTCTCCCCTTCTCCCTGTCTTCCTCTCCTCCTGCAATATTCTTCCAGAATATTGGCTCTCATTGCCAAGGCTTCCGATTCACTGTCTCTCCTGGAACTCTCCCTGCCCCCCCACCTGCGCGTCCCCCTGCCCCCCCCCCACCCCCATGTAACACTTCTCAAAGATGCTGCTGCTCCTCCTCCTCCTCACTCCCTCCCCCAAAGAAAACAAAAGTCTCACCCCGCTAACTTCACCACCACCACCACCCCCGCTTTGTATTTTTTTTCCCTTGTGATTTTCTTTCTCTTTTCTTTCTTTGATTGCACATGGTTTTTGATTGTGTGACTCTTTGGCAAAGGTACATTACTTCTGTCTCTGTGTCTGCCTGCCGTCATTTTTGGACAGAACATAATTCTCTCCGATTGCTAAGCAATTTTTAATACTCTCAAGCCTGCGCTAACAGATGGCCGGGAATTTCCATTCAGTGCCAGGGAAGAGACGGCCGCCGGGGCTGCTGTGGGCTGTTTCTTATGCAGCGCCATTTCCAAAAGGAAAGCCGCAATGTAGGAAGCACTGGAAAACCGTGCGGTTGGACCCAGACTAGCCAGAGGCATTTCGGCCCCGGTCATACGAGAGGTTTTGGGCCGGGAGAGGGACGGATCGGGGGCGGAGCAAATGGGCGTGATCCCACCGCAACATCTGGGAAGCGTTGCGCACCCGTCCCCGATCCGGCCCTTCTGCCCAAAACACAGAGCAAAAATGAACCACCTACTGAAGTGGTTCTTCTGGGACGTCCTCATCAAGGCCGGCCGTGGGATCGCCGGCGCGTCCTTTCGCCAGTGCATCCCCGGCTCCTGGCTGAACTGCGCATGCTCAGACACGCGCAGTTCGGCAGCCTCCCCCTCCCGACCGTCTTCCTCTCCAGCATCTGATCGTGCCGGGGAGCAACGACGACGCGGCTCAGTGGATCCGTGGGATCCCGCCGCGGCGTCTCTATTTTGGTGCAGCTCTAATTAGCCGCACTTTGGCCAGTGTTTTTCCGGTGTTTTTCCTGACGTGTGGCAGGGACCTTCCATTGCCAAAAGGGGACTCCCTCTCCTTCTCCCCCAACCCCCTCGCCCTGCCACCGGCTAATCTCACTCGCATGCAGCATGGGTGGGGCAAATCTGGGGTCCAGAGTGGGAGGGGGACTGGCAGAAACCTCACCCTCATTCCATTAGGGGAAAACTGAAGGGGAAATGAGGGGTGCAGCTACCTTTTCATGCACCCTCATTCCCACCGTGTTCGGTTTAGGGAGGGAGAGGAGCTGGTTTCCCAGTTGCAGAGAGAGAGACAGAGAGAGAGAGAGTTGTTCTAAGACACAAGTTATTCCATTACACATTCTTAAAGTCAGAAAACATTTTTGTAGCATTTCAATATTCAACACAGAATATTTCAGCACAACCCCTAGATAAATAGGTACCACTTCGGTGGGAAGGTCACGGCGTTCCGTGCACCTTTGTGTCTAGTCATACCGGCCACATGACCACAGAAACGTATTCGGACAGCGCTGGCTCTTCGGCTTGGAAACGGAGATGAGCAACGCAACCCTAGAGTCGGACTCGACTGGCTTTCGAGCAAGGGAACCTTTACCTTTACCTTAATTCTATAAAGGATATCCTTGGGGTGGTTCTGTCAAGACCATACCTGTGGGTAGTTGATCAGAACAACCTGGAACAAGACTAAAATCAGACACTAAGTGCTCTTTTTCGCCAACAGAAGCCACTGCAACTGTCAGCCAAGTCTGTGATGAGTATTTGACCTACATCTGACGTAGACAACAAAGTCAGCCACTTCCTTTCTGTCTCTGAGGCCAGGAGAGTCAAGGAAAGCTGGGTTAAGCCAGGGTGACTCACAGAATCAAGGAAGCTCGTTTCTGATACTCTTATCTTTTGAGGATTGGATAGTGACTTGTGACTGCTGTAAAATATAAACATTCCGGGGAGGCAAAAGTCACGTGAGGCAAAGTCGTGTCCAGTGAAAGCCACACACGGCACATAGCAATGGCCTGAAGCTCCCTGGGAGCAGAACAGAACCAACGTTTCAACTCTGGAAACGAATGACTATAGAAATTAAAGTATTATAGATGTGCCAGAGGTTTTGCAGAGTTTTTAGACTGAATCCAGCCCTAATTCTGCAACAGAAACATAGTCTGTATCGCAGCCCATTGTGTCTGCTGTCACTTGTGGTGATGGCCGGTGCATTTGTTGTGTTTTGCTTTTGGGGACTAGGCAGCTGTTATCAGCTGTGGTCTCCTAGCTGTGGATCTGGGGTGGCGTGTGCATAAGGCCGTCATTTACAGGCGGCTGTCCACGTACTGGTGCGTCATCCGTTTTCCAGGACGAAAGTTGGATTCTGAGCAGGAAAAGCATACGTTGTGTTCCAAACTTCCGTTTGCTTTTTCTGGTTTTGCTCTCAAAAGGGCTCCTGTTTTTAAGGGTGCTTTCAGAATTAATTACATTAATAGTGCACTTGTAATTCTATAAAGGATATAAAGGATAAATGTCAGGACCCTCAGCAACAATGGTAGCACACACTTGCAAGAAGGTTTTACATTATTGAAGCTGGAGATGCATGGACAGGAACACTGTTAGGAATGAGGGGTGAACTAGGCGCAAAACAGTTATAGTACATTCATATGAGCGTTACCCAATTACTATGGTTCCCGCGCGCGCCATTAGGCCTGGGAACTAACTGCTACCCAAAGCAAAACAGGTACGAGCTTCCCACGGCTAGCAGTGATCTAAGCAACTCCTCCAGCGGCCTTGAGAGATACGCAGTGCAGTTAGCAGGAGAACGGCAATTAGCCATAGGGAAAGGTATGCGCATCTGTGCATAGGAAGGTATGCGCATGTGCAAAGGGAAGAGAACATTTTGGCAGCTTGCTGACAATATAAAGGATATCAAGGAGCCGAGGGAGAGGGCAGTGGGCCTGGGTGCCCCCCCCCCCGCAGCGTCCAGCCTCTCCCCCCAGCCGTTGCCGCTCACCCAGGCCTGAAGGTCTCTTGGCCTCTGCGAGGGCTCGAAGCTCTGCTGGGAGATCGGCAGGGAGCCTGGCCGGTGGGGGCAGGTTCTGGAGCAAGGGAAGACTTGCAGAGGCACACACAGCGGACCCCTCCCGGCACGGCCGTTCCAGGAGTTCCTGTCTCCCACCTGCCCCGAAGGTCCTCACGATCTCTGCATCAGCGACCGCTGTCCGCGCCCTGCGGCTCCGCTGTGAGCCAGTCTGCTGGGCTTGGGTACCTTCAGCTCTCACCTCTGAGCCTGGGCCCTGTGTCAGTGGGGAAGAGGGGCTCACCTTCCCCAGACGGGGCCAGATTTCCCCGGTGGTTATCTCAGCTCCAAACCATTGTGGACCCTCTTCTCCCCCACCCCCCAAGAAGCAGGGAATCCCGCCCAGAGGGCGTCCGGGGACTCTCGTTCCTCCTGCCGCGACTGACTTCGATTTGGAGTGAGATGTGGCTTTGTCGTGTCCCCCCCCCCTTCCAGCCTCACTGCGCTCCGAAGGGGCGGATCCCTTGGCCGAGGGACCCACCTGCAGAGGTGCCGCCACTGATGTTTGGCATCCAGATGCTGCTGGATCTGGTGTGCACCAATGTTCCCTCTAAGCTGTGGAGTCCTGTGAGCAAAACTTCTACTCTGTGAGCTCCTGGCATTAAAGTTGTGAGCGAGCGATTGGGCTACTGCATAAATCAGTTTGCTCTGGAGCCCCATCCCTTCCTGAGCCAAGAGAAAAATCTGTGAGCCGGAGGCTAAAAAACTGAGCTAGCTCACACCAATTCAGCTTAGAGGGAACACTGGTGTGCGCATGGGCTGCTGGGGGCTGTGTGCGTGTGCGTGTGCGTGCGTGTGTGTTCGATGCCATCCTTATTTCGCTTTCTGATGTTTATTTTAACGCTTGCGTTTGTTTTGCAGCGACTGCCACACAGTCTTGTGAGGAGAAACTTCTTGCCTGGGACAGCCCAGGGCAAACGGTGGAGTTGGATCGTGCTCAATCGGAGCCTGACCTAACTCCAGTCGTCCCATTTATGCTTAACAGTCCGCCATGTAAGTTGGCCACTGCCGAGCCGTAGCTGCAGGAGTAGAGCCCCCCGCCCACCCGCCGCCGGTGCCCTTGTCGGTCTGCCTTTGCTCCCTCCTGCTGGTTGTCTCAGGGGCGCCTTCCTCTCCTCCTCCTCCTCCTCCCTCCCCCCGCTTCCGAGCTGCTGGGGCTGGTGAGTGAAAGGGAGGGTAGCCGACTGCCGGGGGGGGGGCGATGGGCCAGGGAGCCGCCTCCCTCGCAGCTGCCAGTCCTTCCAAGGAGGCTCCCGGAGAGCTGCTCTGTGGTCTGTGTGTCTGTGGACGTGACTTGGGGGTGCATCGGGGCTCCTTCTCTGAGGGGAGGGGTGTCTTTCCCTCCCTCTCCCAAAGGACTAGAGCTCGAGGGCCTCCAGTGAAGTCAGTGGGCAGTAGGTTCAGGACGCACCAAAGGAAATGGTTTGTTCCACGGCACGTGGTTAAAATGTGGGCTTCGCTGCCAGAGGATGCAGTGACGTGGCTGATCGGGGTCCTGGAGATCAGGCCCTCTGAGGAAAGGCTGAAGGACTTGGGCATGTTTGGTCTGGAGAAGAGGAAGAAGAAGAAGAGGAGGAGATTGGATTTATACCCCGCCCCCTTCAATGTTAGGATCTGCAGTGGCTCAAGTGGTTAAGACGCTGAACTTCAGGCTGTGGAAGGTCAGTAGTTCAGCAGTTCGAGACCCGAGTGTGCCGCATGACGATGGAGTGAGCTCCCGTCTCTCGTTCCAGCTCCTGCCA